GGGAAGGAAGTGAAGCTACGAGGTGACCATTATACTTAGAGAACAGTGAGATATCAGGGGATTTATTTTCCAGTGAGGTTCAAGTAGGCATAGTGGGGTTAGGAGTAAGAAGACTAAAAAATATTTTAGAGAGCACCTAATTCTAGCCATGACTGGAAGTAACAAAAATGGGTGGAGGTGAAGGTGATTGGAATTGAGGATAATGATCTATGAGGCTGTCAAGTATTCTCTACTTGGAAGAACACTCTGGATGATGGTGGGAGATACAGGACGGACAAGAAAATGGTAGTTGTGTCACTGGTATTATATCTTGTCCTTTGCGCTCATGTTCTGCCACAGCAGCTGACTCATGCACAGAAGATAACCAAAGCTTGGTAAATAATTGATTAATTCCTCATTTTGAGTTTTCAGTCAATACCTGAATCTCTTAGATATTGGAAAACAGTAAGTGTTATATGGCCAGTTAAAAAAGTCCAGTTGCTTGTTACAATGTCATGGAAATTAGTAAATTATTTCCTACTTTACTTGCAAGGATATTGGATGGTAAATACCATTGGATCTGTGCCTGAGAAAAGCAAGTAAATTCTTTCCTACTTTACTTTGCAAAGATATTGGGGAATGATAAATACCATTGGATCTGTGCATGAGAAAAGCAAGAGGTAAGGGAAATAGAATTCAACTTAGGCCAAGGCCTGAGTCTAAATTCATCCCAGTAGGAGCTACAACTGTGATGTTTGCCAGAACATTAGGTGGTGTGCTTTCTATAGACACGGGGCAAAATTAAAGCATCTAGTATTTGCCTGGCATAGGCTGGCTTCTGTTTCTCTGAAAGATCATCTGCACTTCATATAGGTGAACAGTTCTCTCCTAGGCAAGAGGCTATCTCTTTGCTTTTCTATCTGTAAAATTCATTTATTCATCAGATGCTGTGGACCTGTGGACCAAGATTATGCTAAATGCTAGGGTTATAAGGATGAATAGGAGGGCACCAACAAGAATTTTAAAGAAGGTGGGGATGGAACAATTAGTCTTGCTCTTAAGAAACAAGTAGAGATAATGTAGAAGGTTTGGAGTGGGGAAAGTCTCAGTCAAAAACTGTTTGAGAAGCCCTTTGCAGTAGTTCAAACCAGAAATCAAAAGGGCCTGTGGAACAGTGACAATAGGGATCCAGAAGAGACGCTAGATTCAGTAGATTTCTGGGGTAGATGAGATGAGATTTGGGCACCATTTTGATGAGAATGGGCTGTGAGAGGCACATGGTGACAATATTCAAGGTAGGAAATACAGAAATAGGGACAGTTGGGGGAGGAAAAAGTTCAGTTTGAGACTGTTTGAGTTGCCTAGAGCTGTGCTGTCCAATATAGTAGCCACTGGCCACATGTGGGTATTGACCACTTGAAATATGGCTAGTGAAACTGAGGAACTTAGGAATTTGGAATTTTATTTACGTTTAATGGCCACATGTGGCTACCATATTGGCCAGTACAGGTAGAAAGCATTTCCATCACCTCAGAAAATTCTTTGTACAGCATGGAATAGAGCATACCATGTAGATGAAGATTTCCAGTGGGTAGCTGGAAATAGGAGTGTGCATCTTGGAGAAAAAATTGGGGCTAGAGAGATGATTTAAGAGTCACTGGGAATAGAGTAGTAATGAAGTGGTGGGAATGGATGAGATCTCCCAGAGAGAGGAGGTAGAGCAAGAAGAGAAGCAGACATAGGTGAGAATTCTAGGGAACACAACCTTAAGGAGGCTGGTGAAGAGATGCTTTCAAAAGAGACTGAGAAGTGTTTCTTCTAGTGCCATGTACTTTTTTTTTTGGCCTCCAATTTTGTCTTGTATCTCCTGTGCTAAACACAGTGTCCTGCACACAGTAGGGCGTAAGCAGATTTTCCAAGAACTTACTCAAGTTCTTGAGAGTACCTCACTGTTAGCTTCGTGTGATCATTGTATCAGGAAACGTTGCTCTGGGTAGAGCAGGTGAGGCTGCCTCCGAGGATATCTAATATGATCTAGACAGAGTACAGCACTAGGAATGACAGTCTTTTGACCTTACTCAATCACCCTCTTTCGTTAACACTTTTCCTTCATGCCCAGCTATGATTTTCTGGATTAGGTTTAAATCACTTCCTTGCAATACCCTCCAGCTCTCTTGCCTTTCTGTCCTCATTCACCTAGTTTAGGGGTTGGCAACCTTTTCCTATAAAGGGCCAAATAGTATTTTCAACTATTATGGGCCATATGCAATCTGTTGTATATAGTCTGTTTTTTTCTATAACACTTCAAAAATGTTAAAGCATTTTTTAGCTTGCAGCCTGTAAAAAACAAGCCACCTACTAGATTTCCCTGCAAGCAATAGTCTGCTAACACATTACCTAGCAAGACCTCAATCTGGATGAACCCAGCTCTTAACTTGGCCCTACATGCGTCCTGCGAAGCGTTCCTGAAGGAATCAGTAACTGTATAGATTGGTGTCACCGTGAAAACACAATCACCAGCCTCAGCTTCATATGATATACATTACTGTACAAGTTTATTATTCTTCCCCATTGGCATAGTGGATATTTCACACCTTTTCCTCCTCAAATCTCCCATTTCTCTCTACCACACAACTTTCCATATTGGCTGGGCAGTTCTGGTCAGTGTCAAGGTCAGGCAAACACAAACTCAGCCTGTTTATCAAAAACAATACCTCTAGCACATTATTAGGGACACTGCCTGCTTACTTGGTCTTGACTGGCTTTCTCATGTGTTCAGTCAACTCGTGGGCCTGCTGATCTAGGGTGGCCTCAGCTGGGATTATGGGGCTCTTTCCATGTGGTCATTTGTGTTCTAGCACATTAGCCTGAGCTTGTTTCTATCGTGGTCACAGGGGTCCAAGAGAGAGCAGAAGTGTGCAAAGTCTTTTGAAACCTGGGCTCAGTATCAACACACTGTCATTCCCTCATTGTGTTGCCTACAGCAGTCATAATTCCAGGCAGATGCAAGGGGAGGGAAAAGAGACTCCACTATTGATGAGGAACTGCAGAGTTACACTGTAAAAGGTGTAAATATTGGGAAAAGTGACTTGTAATTTTCGCTGTCGACCTACCCTGACGTTCATTTCTCCACTCAGTGGATGAAGCCCTCTTTCTCTAGTCCTCTGTTCTCAAACTTTCACACGCATCAGAAGCATCTGGAGAGTTTGTTAAAACATGGATTGCTGGGCGCCACCCCCACGGTTTCTGATTCAGAAGGTATGGGATGCCAAGAATGTGTTTTTCTAACAAGTTTCTAGGTGGTTCTGATGCTGCTGCCCTGCAAACCAGTTCGAGAACCACTGATGGAGGCTAATCCTTCCTATATGCTCTGGATTTCACTTACCTTCACTTTAATCACAATTTTGATGTCTCAGTTATCCTCCTTCCTCCTTTATCTCTTGTTTTTCAGTGACTTTGCTACTCAGAGTGAGGTCTGTGGACCAGCAACGTCAGCATCACCTGAGAGCTTGGTAGGAATGCAGAGTCTCAGGTCTACTGGATCAGAATCTGCCCTTTAACAAGACCTGTGGGTCATTCGTGTGCGCATTAATGTTTGAGAAGCACCGCCTGTGGATAGTTCTCATCAGCAAGCAAGCGAGCATGTTCTTGATTTCCTCCTCCAAGCTTGCCTCTCTTCCAGTGTCCCTGCTAATAGTTGGCACCACCATTCGTGCAAGTTAAACAAATGGGAGCTCTCCTTGACTCCTCTCTCGCATATCCTTCATCAAGTTCAACAGCAAATTGTGTGGGATTTTAAGGTACTTCACCACTTCCACTGCTTTGATCCTAGTCCGATATGCCATGTCTTGCACTGGGACTAGTGCTGTAGCTTCTTACAGCTCACTGCTTCCCCCTTCCCCCTTGCAATTTGTTTTCTGTTCTCCCTCTCAAAATCCTGCGGTGGTACCCCAGCATATTTAGGATCAAAACCGTTGTCCTTATCTTGATAAGTCTGTCAGGCTTTACGTGAACGGCCTTGGCCACCTCTGTCTTCCCTCTCCGCAACCCATTCTACCCCACAACCCTGCACACCTTTTCTTTTGCGGGCCCAGTTCACTACTGCCTTCCCGCCTTGGCACCTTCTCTATTTTTTGAGTGGAATGCTCTTCACCCAGTTGGCATGCCCTCACTTCGTTTGTGTCTTCCCTGATCAACTCATGTAGTATAAGCAGCCCCCGTTACTCCTTATTCCCTTATTCTGCTTTATTTCTCCTCATTGCCCTTACTACTACCTGGCATCTACCAATACTTTCTTATCTGACTCCCACACTAGAATGTCATAAGCTCTAAACTTAACTTCTCCATTTTAGTCATGGTGCTACCATTTTCACAGTCATTCAAACCAGATACCTGGACTGTAGCCTTGATTCTTTTTCCTCTACTTTTCTGCTGCCGTTCACGCAATCCTATCACTAAAATATATCTCTTCTACTCCCACTGCCACTGTCCTTATCTAAGCCCTCATCATCTCCTACTTGAGTCACCTCCCAACCGAACTACTCGTTCTGTGTAGGAGCCAGAGAGTTCTTTCAAAAAATGTGATGAGACTATGTTATTTTCTGCTTAAAACCCTGCAAGGTGTTCCCAGTGCACTTCATTCCTTGTATTACAAGGCCCCGTTTACTTCTTCAGCAGCACTGCCTACCATTTACCCCTTGATCTTGAAGTTCCAGCTACAAGCGTCTTTCACTTTTTCTTTTTGACCTATTTCTGTTTCTGTCCACCTGCATGGAACCCCCTGTCCCGGCTTTTTTTGAATAGTTGATTCCTTCTCATTCTTAAAGATTCAGCTGAAATGTGACCTACTCAGAAAAATATTCTCTTACCATTGTATTAAAATAGTTTGTTCCAGTGTCCATTTTTTTCCATCTCATGACTCTGCTTGCTTTCTTTGTATTACTTCACATTTGGCAACTTCTTAATTGTTTACACTTTTACATCTTTATTGTCTGCTCCCTCCTCCAATCAGACTCTAAGCTTCTGAGGGAGACTGTTTTTCACATCTCCAGATACCCAGTTCTTTTCACAATACCTGACATACAGTAGATACTCTGTAAATGCATTGGATGAAGTAATGCCCAGGTGAGGTAGAGAGTCTGCTGAATCCTTTCTTCTCACCATTCTGTGACACTTCCCTTCTTCCCCGACCTTGGTCAGATTTTACGTACAGATCTATTAGATGACTCTATCTCTGGGACTTCAGTTCTTTGAGATTCTACACTGTAATTGTTGATGTTTAATAAATCCACTGTTATTCAAAGCTCTGTTGTTTCCTACTGGTAGCATAAAAGGAAGCGTGTCTTTTTTTTTTTTTTTTTTAAGGAATTTTGGATCTGATTTCTTTTTCTCAGTTAAAAATCTAAACCCAACTAGTGGCAGAATAGCTTGTATAAGTGCTAAAAATGGACGAAATATAAAGAACAAATACTTGAAGGCACTGAAAAAAAAATCAAAAGGCAGAAACTAGAGGGAATTAGACTACTGAAAGACAGGAACTGTACTGCATGAGAACTGCATTTATTTGGCTTTTCTTCTAAGGGTTCCCCTCCAGTCCACATGGAGGTTTGCAGACAAGCAGAAAATCACAGGCATTGAATTAGAAGATGAACCCTGGGGCTGCCAAAGTGACGATACTGAAGGGGAAAATTCTGAAAGAAAGAAAACACAAAGGGGGACCCCTAGAATTTGTATATAACTTTCACTCAAATCCTTAGCTGTCCTTGCGATGTATACATGCAGGGGAGAATCCAAGGTGCCCAGGTAAGCAATAGCTGGAAAGCTGGAAAAGCTCAACAGATATCTCAACTGGGAAGGGAAGGCAGAATTTGGAGTCTGAGTCCCACCAACTTGGAAAGGCAGTGGAAACATGTAGGGCTTTTCACTTGAAACCCCTCAGGACCCTGCCTTAGCAGAAAAGACTATACCCCTGAATAAGGGAGTCACCTTTCATTAAAGGCAGAACTTTAACAGATGTGTGAAACCCACCACAATGTGTGAAACAAGGCCTCTGTAATTTCAAAATGAATAGCTGGTAAGTTAGCATACTAGAACAAAAAGCAACACTCTCCAGAGAAAATAATAGAATCCAGAGATTCTACAGCATATCTGTAAATGTCCAGTGTAAAATAAAAAATTATTAGACATGTGAAGGAATCCATAGGCAAGAGAAAAAACAGTTACAAAAACATGCTGTGAGATAATCTACATGATGGAATTAGCAAAGACTTTAAAGACACTATTATAAATATATACGTGAACTTAAAGAGAAGATAGCTATAATGAACACAGAGTTTCTCAGCTGAGAAATTGAAAGAAAAAACCAGTAGAACTCTTAGAACTTTTCAAAATAATACTTGAAATGAAAAATTCACTGGAAGCCTAAACAACGTATTGGAGGAGCCAGAAGGGAAGTGACATCAGATGGAAAGAAACCAGTATCTACAAATGGGAATGAATAGCATCAGAAATGGTAAAAAGCACAGGAAAATAGAAAAGACTCTCATTTTCTTATTTTACTTAAAAGACAACTGACTTTTTACAATAAAGCTTATAACATTGTATTATGTGGTTTATAATATATAGAAGAGTAAAAGTTAGGACAATAGCACAAATGATGGGCTGGGGTGGATGAAATTACATGGTTGTGAGGATCTTTTACTTTATATTTACTTGATCTTATCATATTGATTATAAGTAGACTGATACAGGGGCTTCCCTGTTGGCGCAGGGGTTAAGAATCCGCCTGCCAATGCAGGTGACACAGGTTTGAGCCCTGGTCTGGGAAGATCCCACATGCCACGGAGCAACTAAGCCTGTGTGCCACAACTACTGAGCCTGCACTCTAGAGCCCGCGAGCCACAACTACGGAAACCCGCACGCTTAGAGCCTGTGCTCCTCAACAAGAGAAGCCACCGCAATGAGAAGCCCGCGCACCGCAACCAAGAGTAGCCCCCGCTCGCCGCAACTAGAGGAAGCCTGTGCACAGCAACGAAGACCCAACGCAAAAATAAAATAAATAAATTTATTTAAAAAATTAAAAAAATAAAGTAGACTGATATAAATTAAAGATGCATGTTGTAAACAACAGAGCAACCACTATGTGTACACATATATGGGTGGGAGGAGGAAGAGAAAACTAAAAGAAAACAAAGAATTTATAGCTAAGAAAGATAAAAGTAAAATATATATTTGATTAACCCAAAGGAATAGAGCAGAGGGACAAAATCAGATGCAAGGAACAGCAAAATTGCAGTTTTAAACCCATATAATAATTAAATGGAAATAATTTAATGCTCCAATTAAAAGGCAGAGATTGTCAGGCTGGATAAAAAAAGGAACACCTAACTATAAGCTATATACTAGAGGTGCACTTTAAATATTAACAGAGAGGTTGAAAGCAATAGGATGGAAAAAGATATACCATGCAAACAGTAAGCTTAAGAAAGCTGTTACGAGTTTTGTAATAACACATGATGTAGACTTTGATATAACAAGTATCAAAAAGATTGCATAATGATAAAGACATAATTTATCAGGAAAACAACAGTCCTAAATGTGTATGCATCTAATAACAGAGCTACAAAATTTATGAAGGAAAAACTGATAGAACAAAAGGGACACATGGACAAATCAATAATCATAGTTGGAGATTTTAACACCCCCTCTCACTACTTGATATAACAAGTAGACAAAATTAGTAAGGGTATAGAATACTAGAACCACACTAATAAACCAACCTGACATAATTGAAATTTATCAAACATTATACTCAAGAACTGCAGAATACACATTCTCCTTAAGTGTATCTAGAAGATACTTGATATATCAAGATAGTCATTATATGCTGGGCCATAAGGCAAGTTTCAGTACACTTCAAAAGACTGAAATCTTACAACGTATGCTTTTGGATCACAACAGTTTAAAATCAGAAATCAGTAACATCACGCTGTTTAGGAAATTCTCAATATTTGAAAAATAAACAGCACACTTCTAATTAACTCATAGGTTAAAGAAGAAATCACAGGGATATTAGAAACTATTTCAAATGGAATGACATTGAAAATACAGTGTATCAAAACTGATGGGATGTTAGAACTTAGATGAGAAAAGGGAAATTTATAACCTTAAATACTTATATTAGGAAAGAAAGATGTATAAAATTAGTGATCTAAACTTCTACCTTAACAAGCTAGTAAAAGAAGAGCAAATTAAACCCAAAGGAAGTAGGAGAAAAGAATAATTTTAAAAAGGGCGCTACATCATGACCACATGGGATTTATCCCAAGAGTTCTAGGTTGGTTTAATATTCAAAAATCAATCAGGGCTTCCCTGGTGGTGCAGTGGTTGAGAGTCCGCCTGCCGATGCAGGGAACACGGCTTCGTGCCCCGGTCCGGGAAGATCCCACATGTCGTGGAGCGGCTGGGCCCGTGAGCCATGGCCGCTGAGCCTGCGCATCCGGAGCCTGTGCTCCGCAACGGGAGAGGCCACAACAGTGAGAGGCCCGCGTACCGCAAAGAAAAAAAAAAAATCAATCATTGGGGCTTCCCTGGTGGCGCAGTGGTTAAGAATCCACCTGCCAATGCAGGGGACACGGGTTCGAGCCTGCTACGGGAAGAAACCACATGCTGCGTAGCAACTAAGCCCGTGCGTCACAACTACTGAGCCTGTGCTCTAGAGCCCGTGTGCCACAACTACTGAAGCCCGCGTGCCTAGAGCCCGTGCTCCGCAACAAGAGAGGCCACCGCGATGAGAAGCCCACGCACCACCACAAACAGTAGCCCCCGCTCACCACAACTAGAAAGAAAGCCGGCACATAGCACAAAGACCCAACACAACCAAAATAAATAAATAAATATCAATGTTTAGTATGTTAACAGAATATATGATCACCTCAATAGGTACAGAAAAAAACATTTGAGAAATTCAACACCGATTCATGATAAAAACTCTGAGCAAACTAGGAATACAAGAAAACATTAATCTGATAAAGGGCATCTAAGAAAAAACAGCCAACTTGTTTACCAAGTGCAAGCTTGTACTGCTTACCAAACGACACGCCAATAAATCAAGAGATGAGGTGTTGGGGCAAGGGATAGCGACTCTATTCGGAAAGCCAGTGGACTGTGAAGATGGTGGACTAGTGTACCAAAGAACCATCTTGCCTGAGTCACAATTCAGGCTTCTTTTATACTAAAAGGGGAGGGGGTGTGGCTGGTTGCTGCAGACTTCTTGGTGCAGGAATCCTTTCTTCTTGCAGCTGTCAAGGTAGGTCTGGTCACATGTTCCTATAAACCTCCAACAAGACAAATGTTATTCTCTGTTCTGCAACTTTTAATCTCTATATGAATGGAAAAGTGTTATACCTTTAAAGGTCAGAGCCTTGAGAATGGGCTATCCTGTGTATTTCAGGCTGGAGGCAATATTCTTTTGAGTTTGAGGAGCCCTGGGTGCAGAGCCAGCATGACTAAGCACAGGCAACAGAGCACAAAGGTTAGAGCTAAAGGAATAGATTCAATATGGAGTCAGGTTTGTTCTTCTCTGTTACAAACTTTGTAATTAAAGTGAAACATTGTTTCCCTGCTGAGACAAGTAATAAGGGTGTCAATTCTCACAAGTTTTATTCAACTTTCTGTTGGAAGCCATAGGAGGTGCCATAAGGAAAGGGAGCAGAATAAAAGGCGTAAGGATTGGAAAAGAAGTAAAAAACATGTATTCAAAAATGACATGATTGTTTACCTAGAGATTTTTAAGAAATCTATAGAATAATCACTACAACTAATAAGTGAATTAGTGAATTCTATATACTAGCAACAAACAATTTGAAAATGAAACTTTAAAAACAATTCAATTTACAGTAGCATCAAAGAACATAAAATAGTTAAGAATAAATTTAACAGATATGTAGAAGATCTGTACTCTTAAAACTATAAAATATTACTGAGGGAAATTAAAGACCTAAGTAAATGAAAATTTACATTCATGGGTTCAAAGGCTTGACCTTGTTAAAAATGTCACTTCTCAAGTTCATCTGTAGGTTCAATGTAATTCTGATCAAAATCCCAGAATAGTCAATATAATCTTTACAAAGAAGAATAAATCAGTATCAGCAACTAGATAAGTGGATCAGAATAGTTAGAAATAGACCTGCACACATACAGTCAACTGTTTTTTTTTTTTTGACAAAGGTGCCAGAGGCCATTCAATGGGAGAAGGAAGAGTTTTCAACAAATGAAACAGTTTGTGCTGAACAATTGGAAGTGCAGGAATAAAATGAAACCTTAACCTCTGCCTCACACCATAACAAAATTAATTTGAGATGGTCACAACCTAAACGTAAAAGCTAAAAGCACAAAGACTCTTAAAGAAAACACAGAATATATTTATGACCTTGGAGTAGGCAAAGATTTACTAAAGACACAAAAGGCAGTAAACAAAATTTTTAAAAACCCTATAAATTAGATTGCACCAAAATGGATTTGTGCTGAAAAGACACCTTGAAGAAAATGAAATGATAAGTCACAGACTGGGAGAAGATATCTGGAGTACATATATTTGACAATAATGCACCATTTCACACCTGGCAAAAAACCAAACCAAACCAAACCAAGCAAGCGAACAAAAAAACTGACCGACGCGTGTATTTCCTGGATGTGCATCACCTGGAGCTGTCTCACACTCCAGGAGGGAAGGGACTATGGGATGGCCATTTTGGAAGACAGGTGATAGTTCCCTGTAAAGTTAAGACACTTGGCCACAGTACCCACACAACCTGGGGAAGGTGGTTACACCCGCATTTTCCAAAACTCAGAATTGTAAATTAAAATCTGTGCATTTTATTTTAACTAAATTTTACCTATGTAAAAGCAAAATAGAAAGATGAATAAAATGAACATCAGAAAGCAATTCGCAGGGGTCCTCTTGGGTCCCTCTGGATCAGCCTGCGCCCACGGGTGGGCGGGCCCGGCAGCCAGAGAGGAAACGAAACCGCGCAGGGGACCTGCGCGAGCGGAGACTGGGCGGCCGCCGCCTCCCACCCCTGATTGCCGTTTTGATTTTTCCTTGGCAGTCCTGGTTTCCCTGCAGCTCCGCCTCTCGGCGCTGGGTGCTTTTCTTGGACAATCCCTCCCGGCTCGCGGGGCTTTCTTGGGAGCTGAGCGCAGGGAGCGGAGCGCAGGCGTGGCGAGGACCTCGCGGGGAGCGGAGCCGCCGGCAGGACCGCCGAGCAGCAGCAGAATCTGCACGCCTTCCGGGACCATGTCAGGAACATCGTGGACTCTACCTACATCCTGAGCTACGTGACCCCCTGGTTTAGGGACGGTGAGTGGTTCCCAGCGGCGCTTGCCCCTTGGGGCAAGAAAACAGTTCAGGACTTATTTCCGCCTTGCTTTTCCCCGGTCTTTCAGTCAATACAGGTAGCTTGCTGGGAACACCGGGTTTGTGGCAAGATCTCCACAGCGTTTTAGACTAGAGATTGTCAGAGTTTGAGGAGCACTTGGAGGCCCAGATGGGGAAACTGAGTCCCAGCGAGGTGAAACGACTTGCTTAGGGGGGCACATCTGTTTAGATTTAAAGCTGGGGAAACAAGTCGCTGTCCATTTCATTTATTTGTACTAATACTTAGCGTCTCCTGTGTTTGTCTTTGGGCTGACATCAGAGATTCAGAATAAGATACAAGCCCTTCCTTAAAATACTTTAAAGTCCAAGGGTTTGGAGATGGAAGACTGTTGAGGACAGAAGTACACAAATGATTGCAAAGTGCTGTCAGAACTCAAAGGAAGTTGAGGCTTACTCTGCTGGATCTGGATCTTATTTGCACTACCAAATAACTGGAAAATTTTTTAATTTAATTTTTATTTTATATTGGGGTATAGTTGATTTACAGTGTTGTATTAGTTTCAGGTGTACAGCAAAGTGATTGTTATACATATATCTATTTTGTTTTCAGATTCTTTTCCCATATAGGTTATTACAGAATATTGAGTAGAGTTCCCTGTGCTATACAGTAGGTGCTTGTTGATTATCTATTTTACATGTAGTAGTGTGTATACGTTAATCCCAGACTCCTAATTTATCCCTCTCCCGTAGGGTTCCCCTTTGGTAACCATCAGTTTCTTTTTGAAGTCTGTGAGTCTGTTTCTGTTTTGTCAATAAGTTCATTTGTATCACTTTTTTAGGTTCCACATATAAGTGATATCATATGGTATTTGTCTCTGTCTGATTTACTTCACTTAGTGTGATAATCTCTAGGTCCATCCATGTTGCTGCAAATGGCATTATTTCATTCTTTTTTATGGCTATTTTTTTTTTTTTTTTTTTTTTTTTTGATACATGGGCCTCTCACTGCTGTGGCCTCTTCTGGACACACAGGCCCAGCGGCCATGGCTCACGGGCCCAGCCGCTCCACTGCATGTGGGATCCTCCCAGACCGGGGCACAAATCCGTGTCCCCTGCATCGGCAGGCAGACTCTCAACCACTGTGCTACCAGGGAAGCCCATACCACATCTTCTTTATCCATTCCTCTGTCAGTGGACATTTAGGTTTCTTCCATGTCTTGGCTATTGTAAATAGTGCTACTGTGAACACTGGGGTGCATGAATCTTTTTGAATTATGAGAGGAGCAAGACTCCCTGGAGTGAATGGCTTTAGGCTTCAATTCAGGTGTTTCCATGTGGTTTATAAATCCCTTGATGACGGATAATGGCCATTTTACAAATTTGTATTGAAGTGCTTTGTGGCAGAGGTGAGCAGAGGCTTGGGGAGAAGAGAAGGGAGGTGGTGCCTGGAAGGGTTGAGATGAGAGAAGGAATCTGCTCTAAGTGCCTACGTAGCTTTCCTGATGTGAGGTGGTTTTTGGAAATTGCATTAAAGCAGACAGGTAACTTGAGTGCTAATTGCTGTGCAAAAGCAAAGCACAGGTTGTGCTGTGAGGAGTGAAAGAATGCCACCAACACAAATAGACCCCTACTTTCTAGTTGTACCCAGAGAAAAGTAACAAAAGAGTAGCTTGGGCCCTTGGAGAATGTAAGCCATGCAAGACATCTGTCTTTTCTAGAAATCCTTGGAATGAGTGAAACCCTAACTGCTAGGAATCCCATTCTTTCATGCACTCATGTATTGATTCAATTACCAGCAACTTAACCCCAGTTAAGGTGTGTGTTAGGCATTAGGCTAGCATTGGAGACAATTAACACATATTACTACATATATTATTTAATAGGAAGCATCCTGTTAGGAACTGAGGGTTCACTGGTGAGCTGGATAGAAATGGTTCCTGCCCTAAGGGATTAGAGTGCACATGTGAAGGCAAGTAACAGAACAATGGTAATAAAGTGTGCTGAGTGCTTTGATGGAAAACCGTAGTGTGCTAAGGAAGCACATAAGTGGGATAGCTTTTAATATATATTAGTTTTAATTTATAGTTACAATACAGTCACAATAAAAATACCAAAAGGTAAGTTAGAAAAGCAAGCTGAAGAACACTGTATAATATTTTCTTATTTTTGACTGTTAACGCTACCATAGAGTTTTTAGTTTGAGCCCTTTCCTGGAGGCAGCTGTTTTCATTTAGTTGGTTTACATCTTTCCTGTTCATTTCTTTATATTTTATCACATAAACTCTTTGCTTTCTCCCCATCTCTTTCTGTTTTCTGTTATATTAATAAAGTTCTCTATCCCCTATTTTTTTTTTGTTTCTTGGCTGCTTTGGAAGCTCTGGATTCTATTGGTTAACCTTAACTGTGACAAATATATTTTATCATCAGGATTCAGTGAAGGAGCACAGACACTAAAGAACATTATGGCTGGATAGAAGCTTTTTGACTCTGTTTTTTTTGCCCTCATTAGAAGGCAGTGGGAGCTTATCCATACTCTCCTTATGCCCATACATTCCCCATACACACACACACAAATACACCAGTATGTTTAAATTACACTAGCAACATCCACTATCTCTTACTATAATCCTTCTCTCCACATGTTGGATATTGTGCATGAGGTGCCTCTTGCAACAGGAGCACTGCAGCCATGTTTCTTCTGGAGAGCTTGCTTGGTAACTGGGGTACCTCAGGGCTTTGCTTATTCACAAGTTATCCAGGATGTTTCAATGTAGACCTGGGTGTAGGCTACAGATATTTTGCAATATGCCTTTGGAGTCAAGACTAACCCTTATCCTGGAAGGGTGCTGGTGGGCAATATTCTAAGCATTTCTCCATTCCTTCAGTAACATATTCTGGACACATGCATGAGCCGGGCACTTTGTTGATGATTAGAAGACAAAGATGCAGAAAAAATGAGTACAACATGCTCATGGTCATGGTCTAAGGGAGAAGACAGGCCCCCAAATGATTACTATATACTATGCAGTGTCAGTGCTGCAGTCAGAGGCATGTAAATTAACTGAAAGCACAGGGAAAGACCAAGAAATTCTGCCTTGGGGAGCTGAGGATAGCATCACAGAGTGGCCAGGATGGCAAAAGGAGTGAGAGATACTGCCTGCCAAAATGTGAGTTTCCATGCATTGAACTCCCAGTGCTTTTGAGGAAAGTAACACTACCTAGTAGCAGCAGATATTGGGGCCAGGCAGCATCACAGTGGGCCCAACCATGTGCAGAGTAAAACTAAACTGCCCAGGATATAGCGAGGCAGTTTACCTGGGAAGGTCTCAGTTGTGACTAGACGAATCTGGACCTCCATGTGGACTATCCATAATGGCTCATAGGTAGCACGTCTAGCAGAAGAACAAACAGCAGCGAAGCCTGGGAGCAAGAACCCAGCTGTAAGGACTAGGTTTAGGAAAAGGATTAACTATTGCAAAGGGTTGTGTGCCCAAGGATGCTGGGATAGGGGACAAGATAGGTTACTGTTATGGATTGAATTATCCCCCAAAAAAGATATATTGAGGTCCTAACCCCAGGCTTCAGAATGTGACCTTATTTGGAAATAAGATCTTTACAGAGGTAGTTAGTTAAGATGAGGTCATCCTGGAGTAGGTTGGGCTCCTGATCAAATATGACGGGTGTCCTCCTAAGAAGACAGCCATGTGAAGACATAGAGGAGCAAAGAGAATGGTATGTGAAGGCAGAGACTGTAGTGATGCGGCTGTCAGACAAACAGAGGGGAAGGTAATGTGAAGAAAGAGGCAAAGAGTGGAGTGATGTGGCCGCAAGCCAAGGAATGCCAACAGCCACCAGAAGCTGGAAGAGGCAAGGAATGCCTTGTCCCTTACAGCCTTCAGGGAGAGTGTGGCCCTGCCAGCACCTTGGTTTCAGACTCTGGCCTCCAGAGCTGTGAGAGAATACGTTTCTATTGTTTTAAGCCACCCAGTTTGTGGTAATTTGTTACTGCAGACACAGGAAACTCATATAGATGGCTAAAATTAAAAGCATAGTAAAAAGTGTTGGCAAGGATGTATAGAAATTGGAATCCTCATAAATTTCTGGTAAGACTGTAATATGGTGCAACTCCTTTGGATAACAGGTTGGCAATTCCTTACAGCGTTAAACATGGAGTTACCATAGGACCCAGCAATCTCATGCCTAGGTGTATACTCAAGAGAAATGAATACATATGTCCACACAAAAACTTGTACATGGATGTTCGTAGCATTACTATTCATAAAAGACAACATGTAGAAACAACCTAAATGCCCATTAACTGATGAATGGATAGACAAAATGTCGTGTATCCATACAATGACATATTATTTAGCAAGGAAAAGGACTGAATGATAAATGATACACAATAGATGAACCTTGAAAACATTATGCTAAGTGAAGGACCACAAGGACCACATATTATCTGATTCCATTTATATGAAATGTCCAAAACCGGCAAATCCAGAGAGGCCCAAGAAGCTTAGTGGTTACCTGGGGCTAGGGGGAGGGGAAATGGGGATGACTGCTAATGGGTACAAGATCTATTTTTACAGTGAGGAAAAGGCACTAAAATTAGACTTAAAACTCTAAAAACTATTGAATTTTACAGTTTAAAAGGGTTTGTTGTAGTGTTGCAGAGGAGGAATGCATTCTTTCCTTTCTTCTTTCATTCATTCAGCATACCTTTGTTAAGTGTATATTAAGTACTAGGTCTTCTTAGAAAATACAGAGGTTAACCAGCCAGACAACTGGCTTACTCCATTGGAATTTACATTCCATTGACAATGGGGAAAAAATGGAAAATTATCCAATGTCAGGTCATGCAAAGGCAAAGGTTTGGTCACCAGCCCAGACGTGGAGTTAGTGTACAAAATCAGTATGACCACCAGCTGGTTGGTGGATAGTTTTCTGTTACCTGACCTCACTGTGTTTCTCTTTAGCTTCTTTTGCTTTCTCTTTTCTGCTATATTTCCTACTGTCTGTTGACCTGACATGAATAGACTGCCAGATATTTCTCCAGCAAAGATGGGTTTCTTCAGGGTCAGCAGAGAATTGCAATCTGGGGTCTGCAACCATGGCAGCCATGCGCAAGTCCCCGCAGGGCAAAGGGAGGAGAGCGCTTTCTTAGAGCGGAAAGGAGGCTGGGAGGGCTGTGGCAAACAGAGCCATGGCTTCTCCCTGGCTGAGTCGTTGCGGGGAAAGAAGAGTCTGTCTTCTTCCTCTCGGGCTCTGCTATGTTCCCAGGGCATGAGAGCACCCCCTTCTGGTCTCCTGAGTCTATTTAATTGAGATTTCTGTTTATTAATTTTTTTACACGTCTTAGCAAAAGCCTGGAAAAAGGACCATGAAAGTATCTCTGTTTATCCTAACTCTGCTTGCTGTGTCCACTGTAACTGTTACTGATGACATGAGTGGTCCTATCCTCACACTCTTTTAGTCCTGTAATTAATTTAGACGTTTGAACAAGAAGCTATCAAAATGTTAGAAAGAAGCCTTTGTTCTTCCACCTAACCCGGTGCTACCCTAACTTCTCTCTTGTTATGGGGAGACTCTTGCAAACATCTTTAAGAAACTCCTTTTCTTAAGGACTGCCCTCCAGAGTGTTCCCAGACTTCCACACCAAACTATTGAGAAGTTTCCAGAGAGGATAGGAGGGGGGGTTTGGTCAAGAATGGGCGTGATTGGCCTGGGCAGAGAATTTGCTGCCTTCCTGCAGTTCCTTTCGTCGCTGTGATTTGTTATACTCCCCAGTACCATTTGAGAAGGTTGGTCTGACAACCAACCCTTCCAATGATTAATGGTTTTACTTCCAATGATTAGTTTCTGCAGTGGTTTTTTTTTTTTTTTTTTGCGGTACGTGGGCCTCTCACTGTTGTGGCCTCTCCTGTTGCGGAGCACAGGCTCTGGACGCGCAGGCTCAGTGGCCATGGCTCACGGGCCCAGCCGCTCCGCGGCATGTGGGATCTTCCCAGACCGGGGCATGAACCCGTGTTTCCTGCATCGGCAGGCGGACTCTCAACCACTGCGCCCCCAGGGAAGCCCAATAAGGTACTATTATTATTTCTATTTTATACAGGAAGAAACAGAGGCTTAGAGAAACTAAATAACTTGCTTAAGATCACACCACTAAGTGGTTGAGCTTGGATTAACAAAATGTATTTGTGTCCAGAGCCTGAACACTTAACCACTGGAGTCCATAGCCTTTTTTCTTTTTTTCCTTTTTTAATTAGTTAATTAATTAATTTATTTATTTATTGGCTGTGTTGGGTCTTCGTTGCAGCACGTGGGCTTTTCTCTAGTTGCGGCGAGCGGGGGCTACTCTTTGTTGCAGTGTGCGGGCTTCTCATTGCGGTGGCTTCTCTTGTGGAGCATGGGCTCTAGGTGTGCAGGCTTCAGTAGTTGTGGCACACGGGCTCCGTAGTTGTGGTTCATGGGCTCTAGAGCACAGGCTCAGTAGTTGTGGCACACGGGCTTAGTTGCTCCATGGCATGTGGGATCTTCTTGGACCAGGGCTCGAACCCATGTCCCCTGCATTGGCAGGCGGATTCTTAACCACTGCGCCACCAGGGAAGCCCCCTTTTTTCTTTTTATTTGCTAAACTGTTTGGTTGTATTTAAGTTTGCATAAAATATTATTCTCAAAAGTAATAAAATAATTTTATCTGAAAATAGGGCAAACCTGAAAAAATCTTGTGACACAAAAATTACTCAGATCACAATTAAAAGTACTCTTCTAGGTAATTATGCCTTAGATTTGAGGACTTTCATAGATTTCAATGATCTTGCTCAGGTCTAAAATAGCATAGAAAATAGAAGACATTCCCCATGTTCAAAATTTTTCCCAAATTCAATATTTAATATTAATTAAAATACCTGAATAATTTCTTCACATTCCTGATTAATTAAACGTTCAGATATTTCAGGAAGGATACCTTTTGGATTGATCGTGGTTTTAAATTCTGGTTGTAAACACTTTAAAAGTAATCTATACTCCTCCAACCTTTCAATTTTTTGAAAATCCCAACTTTCAATGGCATCATAAAGTCCAGAATAAACTGAAAAGTAGGAAGAAAATGGGGCTTTTAGAACGCCAACTAAAATATACTTTGAGATTAATATCATAGAAATCATGATATGAAAGAGAACTGAAAACATATCTGTAAATCACCTCCATTATTTATGATCCTTCAAAAAGAAAATTCAGTATTCATTTTAGGCACCCCACATTTCAGGTCCTCTAACAACATTTACCATCTCTTAGGAGAAAGTACTAAGGATAAATTTGAAGTCTTACATTTGGTCTTAGTATGAAATCTTCCTTCCAAGGTACCCCATGGACTTCACCTCAGCCTCTGATTTGCCTTTCAAATGAGTCAAACCGTCATGCTATTAAGTATCTCCTCAGTGCAAATTAGTAAAAAAGGCAAAAAGAAATAGAAATTTTAATTCCTGCCCCTCAGGGGCTTGCCTCCTACATTATTCCAAGAAAAGAATAGTAAGTATAATGGGCAATTTGAGGAGAAAAAATTATCTTCTACTGTAATAATCCAAGAATGCTTGGCCCTAAGATTCTTAGCAGAATAACCAGGCTTGTCTGACTATAAGGCCCACACTCTTTTCATTAAGCTATAAAGACTGTAACCACAGGGCTTCCCTGGTGGCGCAGTGGTTGAGAGTCTGCCTGCCGATGCAGGGTACATGGGTTTGTTCCCCGGTCCGGGAAGATCCCACATGCCGCGGAGCGGCTGGGCCCATGAGCCATGGCCACTGAGCCTGCGCGTCCAGAGCCTGTGCTCCGCAACGGAAGAGGCCACAACAGTGAGAGGCCCACGTACTGCAAAAAAAAATAATAATAAAAATAAAATTAATAATAATACCTTATGAAAATGGTATTTTTATAGGAATTGAATGAGATAATATATGTGAAGTGCTTACATATCCCTGGCACATAATAAGTGCTCAATACATTTTAATTATTGTGATTAATAATAAAAGTCATGTAAGTCCCACTACCCAGAAAAAAGCATTTGTTAATATTTTGTCATATCCTTCCAAATATACCTATGCCAATATACCCATATTTTGAATTGGTGTCAAATAGGTTCGTTGTCTTCCTAATATAGCTGATAATGATACATATAACATCTCAGAGGAGGTAAGAACACGTGGCTTGACATGTTGATATCACATGTAGAGGACAAGGATGAAGGAAAGCGTATCTTAAAAGGTTGAGTTGGATGGGGCAAGAACGGTCGTGAAGGAGACCTAGTGAACCAAAGTACACAATGATTTTAAATCAGATAGTAGTTGAATTGATATTTCTTCAGTAAAAACTCATAAAATGAAAACTTTTGAACTTGATCAATCAACTGCATTTGTCTTGCTTAGATTTGTTCCAACAAGGGGCTGATGGCAGGTGCAGAGAAAATGGTTGAATGCCTTCTCAGATCAGACAAGGAGAACTGGCCGAAAACTTTGAAACTTGCATTGGAGAAAGAAGAGAGCAAGTTCAGTGAACTGTGGATAGAGAAAGGTAGGATATTTGGAAGGGTGGGAGGGTCTGAAAACATGCCCTTCCTCATAGTTTTACTTAGGGCTTCCTTCAGTCCTGCCTGTTTTTCTCTCACTGTCAGAGGCATTTCCCCTGCAAATACTCATGGTTACATCTCTAGTGAGAGACCAGCATGAAATTGAGTTCTGGAAGGCAGGTGGTTTTTTAATCTACAGAATTAGTTAGGTTGTATATAACCCCTAACAAACCACTCTCATCCAGAATTTGCCCATCCTGCCCAAAGCATTTGGGTAAGGCAGAGTCTGAGCTCGCCGTCTGGGTTTAGATTATCAGAGAAATAGCTTGAAAATTCTAGAGTTAAAGGTTCAAACTCCAGGACTCACCCCCTTTTCAGAGTCGAATCATGATGAACATTGCCTGGTTCTCTTGCCTGGAAGCCATCTGGAACTGAACTAGAACAGGACTGGAAAAAAGAATCTGTTGTGATTAGTATCTGAGCCATCATTTGGCTTTCTGAAGCTAATAACGTCTTCTCAGAGCATTATTTTAAAGGCTGAGTTTGGTAAACCATCTGAGCATCTGGTCTTAGCCTTTTTGTAGGCTTCTTTAAGATCACAAATTGTTCCAGAAATTGTCTGTCTAAATATACATCTGATTTCTTGGGTCGGGTCAGGAATGGAAGACATGAGTGTCTGCTAAATCGTGCTTCTCTTTGGTTTGAATGTAAATCACGGGGGAGCTTGCTAAAATGCAGATTCTGATTCATTCGGGGCTCAAGAGTCTGCATTTCTAACAAGCGCCTAAAGAAGTTGCTGGTCCATGTTTCACACTTTGAATAATAAAGTTCTAAATGACACTGGAGTTCAAACTCCAAATTGTGATTTCAATTTGAAATCAAAAAGATTCCTTTGGGGCTTCCCTGGTGGCGCGGTGGTTGGGAGTCCGCCTGCTGATGCAGGGGGCATGGGTTCGTGCCCGGGTCCGGGTAGATCCCACATGCTGCGGAGCGGCTGGGCTCGTGAGCCATGGCCGCTGGGCCTGCGCGTCCGGAGCCTGTGCTCCGCAACGGGAGAGGCCACAACAGTGAGAGGCCCGCGTACCGCAAAAAAAAAAAAAAAAGATTCCTTTGGTTGGTTTAAAAGGTGGAGGGAGTAGTTGTGAGAAATCTTAATGGAAGTTTAAAATTTTAGTATTCGTACCGCAAAAAAAAAAAAAAAAAGATTCCTTTGGTTGGTTTAAAAGGTGGAGGGAGTAGTTGTGAGAAATCTTAATGGAAGTTTAAAATTTTAGTATTATGATCTCTTTGTAGGGCTTTCACCATCAAGATCGTAATCAAATAATGTAAAGATTCTAAGATGTGTTTTGGTCTCATAAAGGTGCAAAAGATGTCAAAATGAAAGATCTTGAGGATGATGAAATGAAAACTTTGGATGTACAGATTTTCTACAGGGAAGAACCAGAAAACCAGAATCTTAGTCAGAATTCATACCCTTCTTCAGGTACTCAGCATCGTTTGTTCTTTTCCATAATGATGCTCTTTAGGTATTTCATGTGGGGTCATGTTTTGCAGTGCCAAAAGTCATAGCCTAATGAAAAGTTATTTAAGGAAAAGTAAGAAAGAAAAGAGAATTTATATTAAAATGGATACTTTCTCTGTAATTAGAAATGTCATTCTCTCCCTTCCATAGCTATTGCTAGCTTCTCCCTTTTTTTTTCTTCTTTTTTGTCTTCTTTTATCACTAAGTATTTGCATGTATACATTGAAAATGCAAATAGAGTCCTCCCAGAAACTCAATGTCTATGAAATCCAAAATCAGCCCTGCTTTCTAAAGAAAAACTTCTACTCTTTGTGAGTCACTTGCTCAGAGTCCTCTCAAGATCTCAGGGCTGCAGTGTATGTTGATGAAATGTGTGCCCTGCACAGACGTGTGGAGCTGAGAGGTTGAGTGGGGCTGAGATCCAGCCTGTCTTGTTGGGCAAACAATACACTGAGGGGCTGTGTCCTCCAAAAGGGGCTCCTTTCTCTAATTCTCACATAAGTTAGCTATGGCCCTGTAAGGCCCACTTTATGTTTCTTGAAGCATATTTTCATGAGGAGACCAGAAAGTTGCATAATAAGCCATAGTAAAGAGTTATTTATAAAAGGGCATCAGGGAAACAATTAGGATAGATAATGAATAGTGTTAGAAGAAACATGTGATTTGGGGATAACAACATAAGGTGAAAATTTATAGATTACTTCTGCAACCGAATGATACACATTTTTTGTTATTCCAGAATAAAATCAATGAATGTAAATTGCTTTCATTTTTTTCTGACATGTAAAGGTCCTTAGTGAACTCACTTAACCTTTTAGAAATTCCCATTTTCTTTAAAATGGGTAGGTTGGACTCAATAGATGATTTCCAAGGTCTTTTCTAGCTCTTAATATTCTGTATGCTTATCTGTTAGTGAGAAAAGCCTCTGATTATTTTTTAAAACTTCTGATTCTATGAAGAGAGAATACCATGTGAGAGCCTGCAGAATTACAAAGCATGGTTGTTCGTCAATAAGAGATTACTTTGGGAGTTCAGTATTCATAGTTAGGTGTTTTTCAAAGATCTTGGAGGGGTTTGTGGTTGTTTTGTCTCATACAGCATTTCCTTTAACTGGTGGCCATCTGTCTTGCCCGGAATTAGGCCATTCTTGCTTTAGTTTCTCCTTATTAGGCTTCCATGATTGTTTCAGAAAGAAATCTTTGTGGGTTTTTTTCCTTTTTGCCATTGGTACTTTGTCATTGGGGGAGAATTCTGTACTTGAAGTCAGTGCAGAAGCTGGAATGGTTAATTAGATACAAGGATTCTAAACTTTCTTGAATGAGGCCTCTTTCTAGAGACAGAATTCTTGTCTGTTGGGCAATACCTGTTGCCTTGATTCCTCAGAGCAGTCACTGTTTGGTAACTTAGTTTCTTTTGTTTTACAGAAGTGCCTCATACTTACAGCCCATTGAAGCCAAGAAATTACCAACTAGAGCTTGCTTTACCTGCTCAGAAAGGAAAAAACACAATAATTTGTGCTCCTACTGGTAAGCCAATTGCCATTACTGATATAGTTTGTTTCTCTATTTGCTTCCTTTTTTCCCCTTTATTGAACACTGGGACACAATGGGCAAGTTTCAGTTTTTTGATTGTTCCATTTTTCTTTTGAGACAACCATTCTATTAATATAGTCTCAAGGTATTTAAGGAACATGAGGAAGGAAAGAAAAATGCCCTCTTTTATTTATTTTTTAAAATTTATTTATTTATTTTTGTCTGTGTTGAGTCCTTGTTACTGTGCGAGCTTTCTCTAGTTGAGGTGAGCGGGGGCTACTCTTCATTGCGGTGTGCTGGCTTCTCATTGTTGTGGCTTCTCTTGTTGCAGAGCAACAAGCGCGGGCTTCAGTAGTTGTGGCTTACGGGCTCTAGAGCACAGGCTCAGTAGTTGTGATGCACGGGCTTAGTTGCTCCGTGGCATGTGGGATCTTCCCAGACCAGAGCTGGAACCCACGTCCCCCTCATTGGCAGGCAGATTCTCAACCACTGCACCACCAGGGAATCCCCCCGAAAAATGCCCTTTTTTAGCTTCCTGCAGGCCCTGACTGTCTGAAGGCATGTTAACTAGGACGCAGCTTGGTTTTTCAGTCATAGTGTAAATTCTGCAGTTGTTAACCTGCCCACATCACCAATTTACTAGTCAGCTCAGTGGGTTTAGGGGAGCCTAAAATAATGACCTTTTTACAGAAGTATTTTAGTATACTATTAGTTACATGTTGTCTTTCTCTTTATATGTTAAAATGTTGTGGAAAAACTTTTGTTTCACTTCTTATATGTGAACATCATCTTAAAAAATTTCCACAAGGACAAAAGGGGAAAGTTGTCTTTTTTGCTATGCAACTCTCAGTGTATGGGCAGCAGAAATCTGTGTTCTCAAAGCATTTTGGAAGACTTGGGTAGGTATAAGTTGGTCCAACTTCTTTTTCTCTAGCTTCATGTAACTGATGTGTTTTCTGCTTTGTGTTGCTTTTGGAAAACCATGATTCAAAAAATTTATAGTAGATTAAGCTTTTATATAATCTAGATGTAGTTCCTTCATGGATTCAAGTCTTTTTTGTTAGATAGACCTGAAATCCTAAATTCCGTTGATTAGCTCTTGTCGAATGGGTAAATGACTTAAGATAACTTTTAATTTAAATGGCACATTTAACTTTTTAATGATTTTATAATTTATTTAATATTACTCTTTTCCTTACTATTTTCTTTCTCAGTGGCTTACAAGAATTACAGTCAGCCCTCTGTATCTGCAGGTGCCACATGGAATATATTCTACTAGCAATTCTTCCTAGCTTACATTTATTGATCACTTACTATGTGTGATCACTTTGCGCTGGCACTTAACTTTTCTCCAGATCTGTTCCTTTTGAACTTAGGGAGAATTTAATCCCTTGATGTTCTGACCTGGTATTTCATATCTTTGTGGTTCCTCATTCACATCATGGTTAGTAATAGGAAATTTCTGTCATTTTCCAGGTACAAAGTTGGAGGCATTTCTGGAGTAACATGTGACAATGTCTCAGTGGAACAGACTGGTGAGAACAATGGCATCATCATTTTAACTCCACAGGTTCTTGTGAACAACCTTAAAAATGGGACTATTCCATCACTCTCTGTCTTTGATGATATTTGATGAATGCCACAACACTAGTAAACATCATCCTTATAATATGATCATGTTTAATTATCTAGATCAGAAATTTGGAGGATCTTCAGACTCACTGCCCCAGGTATCTCTAAAGTCAGATGGATTTCTCAGAAGAGTTCTAACCTTCCTAAATCCTGTTTATTTACCCTTGTGGCCATACTGTGGCCCTTCTGAGATGCTGAGTGCACATTGTACAACTCATTCGTTAATTTTGATTGATTCATTCATTTATTCACTTAACAAATATGTATTAGGTGCCTCATGTGTCATGCACTGTGCTAGGCACTAGGGTATAAATATAAAAAAGCATAGTACTTGCCCACAAACAGCTTAAGTTTTGTGGGGAGCAAAATATGTGAGAATTATAATTTATGGTGATGGCACATGATGGAGTGGTACAGAACAGAAATGACAGAGATCCTAAATGTGCTATGAAAGTAAGGCAAGACCTAACAGAAGTTAGGATAGGCAAAAACTAACAAGAGTTTACAAGATGGTTTTCAGTAAAGGCTACTGTATGTCCAGAGGCAGAGAGTTATGAAAGAGCATGGGGTGCTCAAGAAGCTTCAAGTTCTTTTTTTTTTCCTTTGGCCGCACTGCACGGCTTGCAGGATCTTAGTTCCCTGACTGGGGATTGAACCTGGGCCATGGCAGTGAAAGTGCTGAGTCCTAACCACTGGACTGCCAGGGAATTCCCAAGAATATTGAGGTTCTTGATGTTGCCTGAGTGCAGAGCGTGAAGTAGTGAATAGCAGCTGGTGAGGCAGGATGGGAGAGAGGGAATGACCGACAGAACAAGATTCCAGGAGAGACCAGAGGGTATGGGATAGGTAGGCAAGTAGATGCATTAGTACGGGAGAGCAGATGAAACACCATTTTTGGTGTCATCAGAGAGGAGTGGCTGAGAAGAGTCAAGACAGAGAATAGATGGAGGCAGGAAGGGTAGGGAATCCCTGGCATATAACCTCTCTTTTCTCTTGAATGTAGGAGAGAGAGATCGTTCACTGAGGATAATCAAGATGGGAATGGAGGAGGGAGCTCAGGGTGTACGGAGAGGATTTGAAATGGGAGACAGAACTGAGAGGAACACGGAAGAATTGCCTGGTCATGTTGGGGCCAAATGAGGTTGGAGACCATGACTATGGTTTACTGATCTCACATTTGAGTTATGTTCTCTAACCTTAATAATTACCCGTCTAGGAAGCACAGTTTAAAAGAAATTCAGTATGGTGCCCATAGACAAAATTCAGTAGAAATCACATTTCTTACAGATTTTTCTTCTAGAATAAAATTGGTAGTTAACTAGATTCCTTGCTTGATTGAATGATTCAGTCATTCAATATTTGAGTGGCTATGAGAGGAAGTAATAAATACTTATTAGGAGACCATTAAACTAAATGCTTTACAAATGTTATCTTACTGAATTCACACAGCTACCGTTTTTTAAAAATTGAAGTATAGTTGATTTTCAATGTTGTGTTAATTTATGCTGTACAGCAAAGTGATTCAGTTATACATACATATATACATTCTTTTTCATATTCTTCTCCATTATGGTTTATCACAGGCTATTGAATATAGTTCCAGACATCTAACGGTTTGGAGTGCTCCTCACAGGTCTTTGGGCTGACTGCCTCGGTTGGCACTGGGGATGCCAGAAATACAGCCGAAGCCACAGAATATATCTGCAAATTGTGTGCTTTTCTCGACACATCAGTGATAGCAACAAAGACAACTTGGAGGAACTGGAGGAGATTGTTTATAAGCCCCAGAAGTGTAAGTGGGATCCAGTAACAAGCCCTTTGGGACTTTGTTACTCTCTGCTATTCTTAGTTCAGGGCCATTTAGATGAACCCTGAATTTTTACCCTTCCTCTGTTTAGTGGAAAATATTTAACCCCAAACTTGGGAAGTGATCACATTTCCAGCTTCTTTCCCCAACGAAGTTCAGGAGTGGCCTGTAGAAAGCAACCATTCTTACTCTTCATTTCTGCAAAACTCTTATGAACATACTGGCAGTGAGAGATGGGTGCTTAGAAAATCATGTAGATGGCTCAGTCCTTCCCTGCTTTCCGTGCCTGAGGCAGACACTGAGTTCCCATTCATCATTTGAATATGTATCTGGTAATTTTGGTTGAAGTGAAATGATCTGAACTGATATTTTCCCTCAAAAGATCAGAATATGATTTTATTAATAAGATCAACTAACAAATGTTTCTTGAATATGAATGCTATATTAACCCAGCAAGGGAGACGGATACAGAACATGCATATGAGTTCATCCCCTTGCTCTCTGAATAGCATATGACTGAATGAGTAAAAGGCAGAACATACATACCTGAAATAGTCAGGGAGCTGCTTGTAAGGAGTGTAGAGAAGGTACCCGGTCTACACCTTTTAAAATCACGTACAAATTTCTTTATAGTCCAGTCCCCCCTGCCCCCTGAGTTTCATCTCCTCTCACGACCCATAAGCCCAACCAAGTTGCATTCCTTGGGCTCCTCAAACGGGTCATGTGTTGTGTTCTGTCTCTAAGTTTGTCCATCGGAGCATTTGCACATGACTGTGCTCACTCCTTCTTGCCTCTTTATCCCACGACACTGCCTCCCCGGGAAGAATGAGAGAATCTTTCCCATGCTCCATGACACCTTGCACATACTGTGTCACAGCACTCTGTGTGGTCATTTGGCTGTGTATCTTTCTCTCCCCTAAGAAGACAGACCTCTCTGGAGCACAGAGCCTGTTCTTTTCAGCTATCACCAGAACGCGGCATGTGGTAGATGATTAATAAGTTTCTGTGGATACAATGCAAAACTGAATGGTAGGAACATTGTGAACACTCCTGGGGGTTGGGTGGGAAGGGAGAAGATCAAAGAACGGAGACAGGGTTTAAAATGTGGCATTTTCAGGAACAAGATGGATATCAGCCTTGTCAGAGCAGGGCCTATGTGTTGAGTAACAGGAAAGCCTGAGTAAGAAGTTGAATTAGACCCAGACAGTGAAAGAGATGTTAGAATCAGTGCACTAAACACTAGGGAGCCGCTGCAAGGTTTCTGAGTATTTGTTTTATCATTCAGATGACTTGCCTGTGAGCTTGGGGCCTAGGGTTTTACAGAGGAAGTAACAAAGGCAGAGAAAGGTTTGGAGAGGCATGCTTTGAACTAGGAAGTGTGCTTCCTGAAAAATACTCATTTTCCTTTGATGGCTCTAGTTTTCAGGAAAGTGGAATCACGGACCACCAACAGATTTAAATGCAACATATCTCAGTTGATGATAGAGACAGAGTCTGGTAAAGAGTATCTTTGAAGAACTTGGTACCATAACTCTCGGTGAGAATAACCTCATTTTGTACTCTCTCCATGTGGGAACAGCCGTCTATTGTTCACTGGTGTCTTGCACTCTCCTTAGTTCAGACAATGTCAAGACCATATCTAGAGGTTGACTTTCTTGATTATAGGTTATTCAGGAGCCTTCTTAGTCCTCCTTTATTTTCTCTTGCTTTTTTTTTCTCTTTTTAAATCCAAAGTAAATCCATCTGGACACGCACACCTGAAAAATACTGTATTTAAATCAGTTCATTGCTTTCGTGGCCTTCCAAATTAGCTTTCCATCCTGACCTCCCTATTTATATGAATGAAACCACCATTCCCATGAAGGCTCAGATTCAAACCTAGAGGTGATCTTTGATTCTTTCTTCTTTTGAGGCTCTCATGAAGTCACCAAGTTCTGTTCTCCTTTTGAAAATTAATTAATTAGTCAATTAATTAATTCACCAGGTGTTGTGCCAGGTACTATGCTAGGTAATGGAAACACCAAGATTAAAGACAGTCTTGCCCTCAAGGAACTCACAATCAATGAGAATCAGATGTGAATAGTTGCCATGCCGTAGGGCAGAGTTACACACTGGGCATCATGGGAGCATATGGGAGCTTAGGCATGGACTGGGCTGCAGGGAAGACTTCCCAGGGGAGGTGATGCCTGAGACAGATCTTGAAGTCAGCCAAGTTAAGAAGGAGAGGTAATCAAGTGAAGTCAAAAAGGCATCAGAGTGAGTTCCCTGGTGGCGCAGTGGTTAAGAATCTGCCTGCCAATGCAGGGAACACGGGTTTGAGCCCTGGTCGGGGAAGATCCCACATGGTGGAGAGTAGCTAAACCCGTGTGCCACAACTACGGAGCCCACGAGCCACAACTTCTGAAGCCCGTGTACCTAGAGCCCTTGCTCTGCAACAAGAGAAGCTACCACAATGAGAAGCCCATGCACCCGCAACGAAGAGTAGCCCCTGCTCGCCACAACTAGAGAAAGCCCTCACGCAGCAACGAGGACCCAACGCAGCCAAAAATAAATAAAATAAATAAATTTATAACAAAAAGAAAAGAAATGGCATCAGACGCAGAAGGAAGGAGAGAGTGCAGTGAATTTTAGGACCTGCAAGATTTTGTGATAATTCTAACAAGTGAGTAGTAGAAAGGAGTGAGGCTAATGTGAGATGCAAGGGCCAGTGAAGGGCCCAGTAGGCCAAGCTGAGTTTGAATTTTAGCCTGAAAGCAATGGGAAGCAACGGGTGATTTTAAACTGATTAGTCCTGAGATGAGGACACCAGTGAATGGAGAGCCAAACAGAGGCGGTGGAGATGGGGTGGTGAAGGGAGGAGTCTTGTGTAGACAGGAAGTGTTCAGCTTTAAGGGCTAGCTGGCTTTGGGTGGGAATCAGAGGACGGCGGTGGGGGTGGGGTGGGGGT